AAGACCGATTTTGCCCATAATGACATAACAGAATCAAATATAATGATCAGAAAGAAAGGACAAAATTACATAGCACATCTCATAGACCTGGGTAATGCAGTAGACAAGACACAGAAACCCAAGCTTTACAAGAAAAAGAAGGAAAATGATAAAAAGTATTTGAAGGAAATACGCGGATTCATCCTGCAAGACAAGAAGATGACTTATTGGTGAGTTATGAAACCTAGGATCAAGTTCCACCGTTTCCTGTGATCACCGCTCCTTGAGACCACCGTTCCCTGCGACCACCGTTCCCTGGGACCACCGATCCCTGCGACCACCGTTCCCTACGACTACCGTTCCCTGCGATCACCGTTCCCTGTGACCACCGTTCCCTGCAACCACCGTTCCAAGCGACCACCGTTCCATGCAATCACCTTTCCCTGCAACCACCGTTCCTTACGACCACCGTTCCATTCAACCACCGTTCCCTGCTACCACCGTTCCCTGCGACCACCGTTCCCTGCGGCCACCGTTCCCTGTGACCACCGTTCCCTGAGACCATCGTTCCCTGCGACCACCGTTCCATGTGATCACCGTTCCCTGTGACCACCGTTCCCTGAGACCATCGTTCCCTGCGACCACCGTTCCATGTGATCACCGTTCCCTGTGACCACCGTTCCCTGTGACCACCTTTCCTTGAGACCATCATTTCCCGAGACCAATCACTCACACAGGCTTGAGTGTACTGAGGATATCGAGCCTCCACCATTCTTCAGACCACCCTTCACTAAGCCCATTGTTCCTCAAGTTTTATTAGTTCAATATCTTTATTATGTACCCTATATCCAACACGCGAGTATCAGTGAAAAGATTGCAGAAGTACATAATGGGTCCAGGGACTGTGTCGAAAGGCTTTGATAGCTGACTACTTCAGCATTGCTCGCCTCATTACCTATTTGGACATCTTGTGTAATTGTGACCTGCAAGTCTGGGTCCAGCAAGCATTGTTCATGGATGTGAACCGGCGGCCTAACCTTAAAATACTCCAAGAGTTACTGCGGATCGCTCTTAACAAACATTGAGTTTACAGTTGCCCATCATTCTGTTTATAAAGGAACTGTTATCAGAAATAAGACACCATCTGTGTGTTTTAGTTAACCAAAAAAAAAAAAAAAAAAAAAAAAAAAAAAAAAAAAAAAAAAAAAAAAAAAAACAGAGATGATAGTAAAGGAGGTGTATTTATGTAGGTGTGAAAACCTGGGTTTATTAAGATAAGATAAGATTTCGTTCGGATTTTTAACCCCGGAGGGTTAGCCACCCAGGATAACCCAAGAAAGTCAGTGCGTCATCGAGGACTGTAACTTATTTCCATTGGGGTCCTTAATCTTGTCCCCCAGGATGCGACCCACACCAGTCGACTAACACCCAGGTACCTATTTGCTGCTAGGTGAACAGGACAATAGGTGTAAGGAAACTGTGTCGGAATTTCCACCGAATTTCCAATCGAACTCCGTGTGTGAAGCGGGAGTTTTAGCCACCAGACCACCGGGCCACCGATATTAATGAATTAGTTACATGTTCATATCTGGTCACAATCGCAGTGAGTTATAAATACAGACATGAATTGGATCACCATTCCTTGACTCCACCATTCATGGATCACACATTTCTTTAACCCATTCATTAATCTCACATTTCTTTAGCCCCACCATTCATGGATCACACATTTCTTTGACCCCAAAATTCAGGGATCACACATTTCTTTGACCCACGATTCATGGATCACACATTTCTTTGACCCCACCATTCATGGATCACACATTTCATTGACCCCACCATTCAGGGATCACACATTTCTTTAACCCCACCATTCATGGATCACACGTTTCTTTGACCCCACCAGGCCCGGTGGCCTGGTGGCTAAAGCTCCTGCTTCACACACGGAGGGCCCGGGTTCGATTCCCGGCGGGTGGAAACATTTCGACACGTTTCCTTACACCTGTTGTCCTGTTCACCTAGCAGCAAATAGGTACCTGGGTGTTAGTCGACTGGTGTGGGTCGCATCCTGGGGGACAAGATTAAGGACCCCAATGGAAATAAGTTAGACAGTCCTCGATGACGCACTGACTTTCTTGGGTTATCCTGGGTGGCTAACCCTCCGGGGTTAAAAATCCGAACGAAATCTCTCTCTCTCTCTCTCTTACCATTCATGGATCACACATTTCTTTGACCCACGATTCATGGATCACACATTTCTTTGACCCCACCATTCAGGGATCACACATTTCTTTGACCCCACCATTCATGGATCACACATTTCTTTAACCCCACCATTCATGGATCACACGTTTCTTTGACCCCACCATTCATGGATCACACATTTCTTTAACCCCACCATTCAGGGATCACACATTTCTTTGACCCACCATTCATGGATCACACATTTCTTTGACCCCACCATTCAGGGATTACACATTTCTTTGACCCAGGATTCATGGATAACATTTCTTTGTCCCCACCATTCAGGGATCACACATTTCTTTGACACCACCGTTCAAGGAATATACCTGGAGAGGGTTTCAGGGGTCAGTGCCCCTGGGGCCCGGTCTGTGACCAGGCTCGCGGTGGATCAGGGTTTATTTCTTATATTTATTTTAAAACACGAAACTTCAATAGATCTCTGACATAAAATGATAAAGATAAATTATGTGAAAAGAAAAATGTTGTTGTGTTGTGACGTATATTGTGTAGTGTTGTGTTGTGACGTATATTGTGTAGTGTTGTGTTGTGATGTATGTGTAGTGTAGTGTTGTGATGTATGTTTGATTTGTGATGTATGTTGTGTTGAAGTGTATGTTGTGATGTATTTGTGTAGTGTAGTGTTGTGATGTATGTTGTGTAGTGTGTGGTTGTATGTATGTTGTGTAGTGTCTTGTGATGTATGTAGTGTAGTGTTGTATGTTCGTGTATTTGAGTGTTTGTGATGTATGTTTGTATGTTGATGGTGATGTATGTTGTGTAGTAGTTGTGTTGTGATGTATGTTGTGTTGTGATGTAGTTGGTAGTTTTGTGTTTGATTTTAAATTGTGTCGTGATGTATGTTGGTAGTTAGAGCTCTTGATGTATGTTGTGTCAAAGTCAAGTTGGTTGATTCTCGTGTAGTGTTTGTGTGATTGGAGTATGTTGTGTAGGTTGTGTTGTGATGTAATGTTGTGTAGTGTTGTGTTCTGATTATGTTGTGAGTGTTGTGTTAGTATGTTGATGTATGTTGGTGTAGTGTTGTGATGTATGTTGTGTTGTGTTTGAGTGTATGTTGTTACAACGTCGTGAGTGTTGTGATGTTGTTGTGTAGTGTATGTGTTGGATGTATGTGTGTAGTGTAGTGTTGTGCGAATGTTGTGGTAGTGTTGTTTGTGTTGTGATGTATGTTGTGTAGTGTTGTGTTGTGATGTATGTTGTGTAAATTTTGTGATGTATGTTGTGTAGTGTTGTGTTGTGATGTATGTTGTGTAGTGTAGTGTTGTAATGTATGTTGTGTAGTGTTGTGTTGTGATGTATGTTGTGTAGTGTTGTGATGTATGTTGTGTGTGTTGATGTATGTTGTGTGTAGTTGTAGTGTTGTGATGTATGTTGTGTAGTGTTGTGTTGTGATGTATGTTGTGTAGTGTAGTGTTGTGATGTATGTTGTGTAGTGTTGTTGAGTGTGATTATTGTGTAGTGTTGTGTTCAGATGTATATTGTGTAGTGTTGTGTTGTGTGATGTATATTGTGTAGTGTTGTGTTGTGATGTATATTGTGGTAGTGTTTGTGATGTATATTGTGTAGTGTTGTGATGTATATTGTGTAGTGTTGTGATGTATATTGTGTAGTGTTGTGATGTATATTGTGTAGTGTTTGTGATGTATTATTGGTGTAGTGTTGTGATGTATATTGTGTAGTGTTGTGATGTATATTTGTGTAGTGTTGTGATGTATATTGTGTAGTGCTGAGTTGTGATGTATATTGTGTAGTGTTGTGATGTATATTGTGTCCTGTTTTGTTGTGGTGTATATTGTGTAGTGTTGTTTTGTAATGGATGTTGTGTAGTGTTGAGTTGCAATGTATATTGTGTAGTGTTGTGATGTATATTGTGTAGTGAAAGGAAGGTGGGGTAGGGGTTGGCCTAGGAAAGATTGGAGGGAGGGACAGAGTGAGTAAAGGTTTTGTATGCGAGGGACTTCCAGCAAGTGTGCGTGAGCATGTTGGATAGGAGCAGGTGGAGGCAAATGGTTTTTGGGACTTGATGTGCTGTTGGAGTGTGAGCAAAGTAATATTTATGAAGGGATTCAGAAACCGGTTAGCCAGACTTGAGTCCTGGAGGTGGGAAGTACAATGTCTGTGCTCTGAGGGGGGCATTGGTATGTTGCATTTTTTGTTTTTAACTGTAGTGTAGGCACACCTCTGGGAAGACAGTGATTTAGTGAATGATGAAAATTTTTCTAATTTTTTGGGTCACCCTGCCTTGGTGGGGAAACAGCCATTGTGTTAATAAAATAAAAAATGCTTGTACTGTATACAGTACTATCCTAACTAAACCTACTTTTGCATCATCCAGTTTTTCTCATTCCCCTCAAGGGATGATTCCTTGATGCCAGGAAAGGGGTCTTGATAAAAGGAATTAGTGCTATCCTGCCTTTCATTTTATTATTATTATAATCAAGGGGGAAGCACTAAACCTGGAGGATTATACAGCGCCTGGGGGGGATGTGGAAGGCATTCAGGCTTAATTCGGGGAACTGGAGCACAGATCCAATTACCTAAATCAAGAGCCCCTCACCAACATCAAGGAACCTTCCTTGAAGGGCCTTTCATTTTATTAATCCTGATTGTCTCCAAGTCCTGAGGAGCTATATCTCCCTTGGGTTTAGCATTTCCTCATAAATTATTTTTTTTTTACTTTTACGAAAGGGAACCCTAAGTCGAGAGGCATCATCTTTCCCAACTGAAGAATTATTATTATTATTATAATCAAAAAGAAGCGCAGTGGCTACAGCATGAAGTAGGTAACTTGGAAGAGCGAACTGCCCGCATTATTATTATAATCAAGGGGAAGCGCTAAACCCGGAGGATTATACAGCGCCTGGGGGGGTATGTGGAAGGCATTCAGGCTTAATTCGGGGAACTGGAGCACATATCCAATTCCCTAAATCAAGAGCCCCTCACCAACATCAAGGAACCTTCCTTGAGGGGAAACTGCCCGCAGAGCTACCTTGGGCATGTATTTGGTTCCAGATGCAACTGTGCTTATCAACCACCTCCAGGCTATCAAGATGCTTCTGTCAAAGCCTACACATATAATAATCATCCCACAAGCAGGTATTTTTACCATATATTCTCAGTTTGGGGTATACTTTCAAAAAATCAACTTTGAAGATTTGACCATAAGTTGCATTTATTTTCTACAAGAACTTGAAGGAAGCTACCAGCATTTAAGTTGCTAATCTTTTTATTAAATTTTGATCAAATACCTTCTCGGTTTTTCATCATGAAATATTTTACTTCTATTAATATTTGACAAAGTATAAGATTTAATAATATTGCCAGTAGTAATAAGAGGCAGTGTGGTTTTGGGTCATGTATTGGGGTTCAACAGTAATTTGTGAAAGTTCTGTCCTGATTTATTTAATGAGGTGATTTTTTTTTATTTTAAGGTTTATTTTTTATTCAGGTAGGATCCCCAAATCCACAGGGGATGCATTCCAAGGACCTGCCATGAATAGTAGCAAACCCTGTATATAAGTCCTATACATGCATGATAATTATTATAATAAAAAAGAAGCGCTAAGCCACAAGGGCTATACAGCGCTGCAGGGCAGGAAGGAAGTGAGGGCATCAGGTGGCAAAAGGGAGATGGATGAGTAATAGGTTACGGAGAACAGTGGGGCAGTGGGTGGTGAAAGGGTAAAGGGCAGCAAGAGACTGAGCTAGAAAGGGCTGAGGGGAGTGCAAAAGGTATCATCATCAGAGTTTGTGGAGTAAATCAGTCGTTGTCAAGAAGTCAATGAGAGAGTCAGGATTAAAGGAGGGTCCATCAGAAAGAAGGGAAGGTAAAGAGAGAGTAGTAGAGCGGAGACGACGACGGAGGTAAATTCTGCGTGCTCGTTGATAGAGAGGGCAGTCTAACAGAATGTGGCTAATCGATTCGGGAACTTGACACTGCTCACAGGGTGCCTCTCCATGAGATACCCATGAGTAAGATGAGTGTGGCCAATGCAAAGGCAGGAGAGAGTGGTCTCCCAACCTCAGCACTGATGACAAGAAGACGGCCAGTAACCTATGTTCGGTTTAATAGAATGAAGTTTGTTACCAAGCAGAGTTGACCAACGTTGTTGCCAACGGGTGTGAAGGTGGGTAGCTATTACAGCAAAATAGCCCAGAAATGGAACACCTCTATATGAAATTGGTAGGTCATGTACTGCTGACCGTGCAGCAGTGTCTGGCTGTTCATTGCCCTGTACGTCGACATGGCCAGGGACACATACATGATAAATTATGCACAATAAGAGGAAAATTGCCACTTATTCACTGATGGGAAGTATTTCACAGCTTCTCTTAGACTTTGAAGAACTGCCAGCTTCTCTACTTTTGTGTTTTGGCACCAATATTATGCAAAATTAAGAGGTATTTTTGGGCCACAGTAAACCGTGGATAACTGAGACTGCGGATACTAAATCAGTAAAAAAGTGCATCTGAAATGACAAGATCTTTTAGCACTTGGGAATTACCTTAATTTCTTGTAATTTTAGTTTTTTGTTTTACATAAGCTTCTTGAAGTGGGCTTCAGTGAATCTGCAATATTAGTGAATTTTTTTTACTAATACAGTTTGTAGTGGTAATAATTTCAGTGACTACAAGAGTTTGGAAGGAAGTTTGAAAAAATAGATAATACTAAAATATGATGTTTTCATCTGTAACAATGCTTTTCTCCATTTTTATGTGGGTTCATCTCTGTGAATTGAATGGGATGAATATTAGAACATACTGCTGCAGTGTGGTTAAATGAGTCTGATTGTAAAGCATGTTAATTTTATCTTTACTCAGAATATCCTTTTCAGCTATTGACTTGCTTGATCAACAAAAGCGGGAGAGCTTGGGTGCCCGTGATGCTATCCGCTGGCTGGAGATAAAGTTCCGTCATGGCTCACGCTTTATCAAAGCCCAATGCCCACATGAAAGAACTCGCTTGCCTCTTATTAAGTACCCCAAGCGGAAGGACAAGGAAGCTTGGTAAGGCTAATGCTACTATTGTGTGTTGGTACTCTTCAATATATTTTAAGGTCGACGGTTAAAAATCTGTGCAAAGCAATCCTGTTATACACAGTACAGTAGGGATATATTGGTATTAAGGAAAAGTTAATATGTGTAAAGAGTAATTTATAATTTATATATTCCATACATTTGCAGATGTTGCAAATGTATGGAACACGAGGTAGGTCATTGAAAGCGATGAAAAGTTTTTATGAGGATAGCGAGGCTCAGGTTAGAGTATGTAGGCAAGAAGGAGATTCCTAGTGAAAGTAATCCTTAGACAGGGATGTGTGATGTCACCATGGTTGTTCAGTATATTTATAGATGGAGTTGTAAGAGAAATGAATGCTTGGGTGTTGGCAAGAGGTGTGGGGTTAAAAGACAAAAATCTGAGGAGTCTGGAGGAAAAGAACTTTATCCACGAAAGCAAAGAGGGGAATGTATGAGATTAGTTATACCAATGCTCTTGTATGGGTGTGAGGCATGGGTGGTGAATGTTGCAAGGAGGAGGTTGGAGGCAGTGGAGATGTCATGTCTGAGGGCAATGTGTGGTGTGAATATAATGTAGAGAATCCATAGTTTGGAGATTAGGAGATGGTGTGCAATTACCAAAACTATTATCCAGAGGGCTGAGGAGGGGTTACCAAGATGGTTTGGACATGTAGAGAGGTTGGAATGAAATAGAATGACTTCGTGTGTATACATCTGTAGTGGAGGGAAAGCAGGGTAGGGGTTGGCCTAGGAAAGGTTAAAGGGAGGTGGTAAAGGAGGTTTTGTGTGCGAGAGGCTTGGACTTCCAGCAAGTGTGCATGAATGTGTTAGATAAGAGCAATTGAAGACAAATGGTTTTTAACACTTGACATGCTGTTGGAGTGTAAGCAAGGTAACATTTATGAAGGGATTCAGGAAAACAGGCAGGCTGAACTTGATTCCTGGAGATGGGAAGTACAGTTTCTGTACTCTGAAGGAAGGGTGTTAATGTTGCAGTTTTATAACTGTAGTGTAAGCATGCCTCTGGCAAGACAGTGATGGAGTTAGTGATGATGAAAGTTTTTCTTTTTCAGGCCACCCTGCCTTGGTGGGAAATGGCCAGTGTGTTAATAAAATAAATGTAAAATATTAATTTTCATACATGTTTAGCACTTTTTTTTTTATATAAAATGCCTTTCATGGGGTGTCTTGATGCTGGTGAAATGTTCTTGATTTCAGGAAATGGAGCTAGCATTCCTTTCTTTGGAATAAACCTGATTGCCTCTCATTTCTCAGTTGTTTGACCCATTCTCATTTAGCTCTTCCCCATGTATAATAAACACAATATACAAATGTTGGAATACAGTGTAATATGTACACACTTGTAAACTGGTAACTATCAATCTTTTTTTTATTTATTGTAGGGAGTGGTATCAAATAGTGGAATGTTGCCATTATCTGAGTGCACAAGTGCAGCAGAATTCTATCACTGTCAAGACGGCAAGTGACTCTACTGACTGCAGAGAAACACCCACCCAGTTCCACTTTCATTCACTCTGGCCTCACCCAAGCTGCAGGTTAGTGGAGGAAATGGCAAAACCTCTTTGTTTACATTTTACTTAGGAGTGTGGGTTTGTTTTTCCATAATAGATTTTTCTCTTATGACATAATTTGATAGTCATGTTGGCAAGATGATTTCCCCATATCTTAAGAATATTTCTCAGTCTCTGAGTCAATTAATGTATGTCTAGTTACTATTAAGTACACGATACAGTAACTATCTTTCCAAGGTCATATTAAAGATTGTGCTGTAGGATTTCAGTAATTTTGATATCTACATATTCTGGTATTATGGCATAAAATCAGTTTTAAAAGTGAAAAATTAATCTAATGGTTAAATAACAAAAAGGCACAATACTGTGACTGGAACAATACACAAATAACTGGCACATTGGAGAGAGGAACTTACGACGACGTTTCGGTCTCACTCGGACCATTTACAAAGTCACACTAACAGAAAGGAGAGGGTATAATTATAACCCTAATTTTTAAAGGGGTGAACTGGTAAGCCAGGAAAAGACCTTAGTCAGATGACCGAAAGCTCCAATGGTGGGTCATTATACGATTAAGACCTGCATCAAGAAACACTTGTCCTGTTTCCTGATGAATCTTTCCTAACCTAACCTAATGAAAAAGTATCTTTTGAAATAAAATTTTGTAGGCTTGCCTACCTATGATCCGGATGCAAAAATTTTGAAAAAATTGGTTGGTAAGTTATAAAGATATAACTAAGTTTAAGAGTATTGCAGTATTGCATATTAAAAAGCCTTTCATCCTCAGAGAGGTGTCATGGTGCATCTTATTTATCTGATATAGAAACATTTGTGTGTTGACATTATAAATTATTACTTTTTTAGGCGCAGTATTGGAACACATTGAGGAGTTCATGCGTAAATGGCAAACATCTACCAAAGGGCATAGCTGAAGAGATAAGATACAAGGCAAGTGTAGCAATTTATTTTATTTATTTATTTATTTAGTGTATTTGCAAACAGTACATTGAGATTGTGTATATACAATAGTGGGTTGCAATGCGAAGAGAGCCTCTATTATGCCTAGGCATTATGGGCCAACTTAACATTATTGGCTTGCATTATACTTAATACTAAGGAGTAGTATATCATAGTTGTACAGTAGGAAAGTAATTATTTCATAGTTGTACAGTAGAATATTAATTATAAATGAATCAAAATTTGAATAATACAAAGATATATTTATATTCTAAAATGCTTTTGTTGAAAACAATGATTCAATTGTATTGTAACCTATATTATCCTTAATATAAATTTAATATTCCAGCCTTTCCCCTCCAAGGTAAGGTAACTTGAAAAAAAGGTAACACATCATTCATTCAGTAGCTTTCTTTCATTAAGTGTGCAGACATTACAGTTTATGCATGTAATTATTCTTCTTTCAACACACTGGCCGTATCCCACCGAGGCAGGGTGGTCCAAAAGAAAACTTAAGTTTTCCCCTTTAAATTTAGTAAAATATACAGGAGAACAGGCTACTAGCCCCTTGCTCCTGGCATTTTAGTCACCTCTTACGACATGCATGGCTTGTGGAGGAAGAATTTTGCTCCACTTCCCCATAGAGATAAGCAGAAGTAAACAAGAACAAGAACTAGTAAGAAAATGAGAAGAAAACCCAGAAGTGTGTGTATATATGTATATGTGTAATATCACTCACGAAATCGTAATGACACGATTGCAAACAAACCATGCAAGTGGCTAATGCGACGGTCTGGAGTTTTGAGACTCTGATCGCGGGTTCTATCCCGCCCGTGGTATGGTTTGTGTAATATCACCATGGTTGTTTAATATATTTATGGATGGGGTTGTAAAAGAAGTAAATGCTAGGGTATTAGGGAGATGGATAGGATTAACCTGTAAACGGTCCAAACGTATATAGTACCACTACAAGAATTGAGAGAAAGATGTTTTTCAGTAGTGATAGGAGTAGTATTGATATGCGAAAGGAGAGAAAGATCATGAGCTTGGGTAGCATTCGGGACAGTGACGATGCGCGTACCGCTCTTGAGAGCATGAAATGAAATATCTCTACCAACATCATGGCGCAGGAGCGCTTTGCCAATACTATGGTCAGAAAGATAAGCAGAAGAAGGAGTCGGTCTTAAAGTTAAGAATTTAGTCCATTGTGTGGTCTGAAACTGAGCGTGGAGAGGGAGTGCAAAACGTGTCGGTCTTTTCCGAATAGAATGGGAAGTTAACGAAGTAACATCATCAGGAGATTGTCGTTGGGGTTTAGGAGTAGGACCGGAGCTGGTCCGACGTGAAGCGGGCTGGCAATTCGAAAATTGCCGTACCGTAGAGGGAGAGGCCGGAAGCATAGTTAAAGGAGAGCGGAGGTCAGACAAATCAAAGGAGTCAGTGGAGGCCCCAGTACCTGAAGCGGGTGAGGAAACAGCACCAGCAAGAGGTACAGGGGCATCAGGAGTGTCCGAAGAGTGGTCAAAAAACAAGGAAGGGTCAGAATGGGGTGTGGTATCAAGAAGGGGCCTGGGGGTAGTAGGTTCATGGACTGGGTTCTCCATGATTAGGTTACTTCTTTGCATTTTGTTTTTAAGAAAAAAAAAAGAAAGAAGAAAATAAAATAAAAATAAAAAAAAAAGAATAAAAAAAAGGGGGGAGCTGGGAGGAATAGTTCCCAGGAGGAATGATAGGGCCGGAAATCTCCCTCTGCGCCTAAGAGGACCTCAGCACCGCTAGTAGCGCAGATGCAGCATGGAACCCGTGCCATACCCTATCCTTCATGCCAGTAACCAGCAATCTGGGATAGCAACCTCACATCTGCCGAGCTACTTTGGTGGACAAAATAGAGGGCGGCCGGATATCCACCACAAAGCATACCTCCTTCGGCCACCACCCCCGGAATCCGAAAGGTGGCTTCCAGAGATACACCCATCGCCCGAAAGACACCCAAAGCCACACTCCGGGATACCGGAGAGGGATCGAGACATCCCCCAGGCGATCCAGATTCCATGGCAAACTACACCACTGCCAAGAACCTCAACGGAATGGGATGGACCCCGGTACCTTTTCCCCTACCTAGGAACTAGTGCTCCTGTGGGAAAAATCCCAAAGACCAAAAAGAGAAAGGGCAAAAGGGAGGGGTGGGGAGGAGGAGGAGGAGAGGAGGAGGAAAGGAAAAGGAGAGGATGGGAGAATGGGATAGGGAAGGGGGGGGGGGGGTTGGGAGGTAACTAGGTTCGGTCTGAGGAAGGAAACCAACAGGTCTAATTCCTCAGACCAAGAGCCTCTTCACCACAAGGAGCCTTCCTTGAAGAGGAGGAGTGAATGGAAATGAATGGTTTTTGGGACCTGACGAGCTATTGGAGTGTGAGCAGGGTAATATTTAGTGAAGGGATTCAGGAAAACTGGTTATTTTATATAGCCGGACTTGAGTACTGGAAATGGGAAGTACAATGCCTGCACTTTAAAAAGGGGGTTTGGGATATTGGCAGTTTGGAGGGATATGTTATATATCTTTATATATGCTTCTAAACTGTTGTATCTGGGTGCCTCTGCAAAAATGGTGATTATGTATGAAGTGAAAGTGTTGAATGATGATGAAAGTATTTTCTTTTTGGGGATTTTCTTTCTTATTTGGGTCACCCTGCCTTGGTGGGAGACGGCCAGCTTGTTGAAAAAAAAAAGTACATGTTTAATGTGACCTAAGTGTAAGTAGAAGTAACAAGACGTATCTGAAATCTTGCTTGTTTATGGGACAGGAAAAAGACACAAGCATGTAGTTTGCCACAAAAAAAAATTTCTTGGGAAAATATACTATTTTTTTTTCCCCACTAAGAATTTGTTATAAAGAAATTTTTTCATTTCATTGTGGCCATCAGAATTCTTGTATTTTCCTCCAGTTTGTTGAGACCTTGCTTGTGTGTTTAAAACTAATAGGAATGTGATATATTTTTTTTATGCCAGAATCCCATTTTTTAGAATTCCCAGATCGTCTAATGAGAAATGTGTAAATAGTTTTTTTTTTCACATTGATTAAAATTTATTGTATAATGTGAACTATTGGGATCAAGGGGCTAGTAACCCCTTCTCCTGTATACATTACTAAATTTAAAAAGAGAAACTTTCATTTTTTTTTAGATCACCCTGCCTCAGTGGGATATGGCTGGTTTGATGAAAAAAAAAAAAAATGAACTATACAGCTGCTGCACTAATAAAATTTTTGCTTTTATTAAACATTGTGTTATGGAACTGCTGCACTGTATTATAATATACAGTGGACCCTCGAGTTTCGGCAGCATCAACTCGTGAAATTTGGCAAGTTTTTTTTGGCAAAATTTGGCCTTGAGTTTCGTGATTAGACTAGTGATTCGGCGACCGTCCGGTACCCGTCCACCCATCGCCACACACACAAAGCCAGTCTCCCACGCCATTCACGCTCAGTGTGCCATTGTTTACCAACACGTGACCATCACCCCGCAGGTTCATACATTTCATAATAATCCATTGTTTTTTGTGCTTGCAACTGCTAAATAAGTCATCATGGACCCAAGGAAAGCTAGTGCAAGCCCTTTGGTAAATAAAGTGAGGAACGCGATCCAGAGGGATTTTGAAGGGTTTGAGGCAGACCCTGTCCCTGCCGACCCTCTGCCTGTTGTGGAAGGTGTTGTGGCATTGGGCAAGTCCATGGGGTTGGAGGTGAGTGACCGGGATGTGGAAGAGTTGGTGGAGGACCACAGGGAAGAGCTAACCACTGACGAACTGCAAGAGCTTCAACTGGAACAGCATCAGACCACAGCCAAGGATCTTGCTTCAGAGGAGGAGGAAAAGAGAGTGAAGGAGGTTCCTTCTTCAGTGATTAAAGACATGTGTGGAATGTGGAATGAGTTGCAAAGTTTTGTTTAAAAGTATCACCCTGACCAAGCTGAAACAAGCCATATCTGCAACATGTACAATGACAGTGCTGTGTCCCACTTCAGGGAAATCTTAAAGAAACACCAGAAAAAGACCTCTCTGGACAGATATTTTGTGTGACAGGGGTCCAGTGACTCAAATTGTGCCCAGTGGCATTAAAAGAAGAAGGAAAGTAACCCCAGATAAGGACTTCATACCTGAAGGAGATTCTCTTTCCAAACAATAGTGTACACCTTCCTATCCCCTCCTCCCGTCTTCCATCCACGCAGAAGTCTTCAGTAAAGGTAAGTGTAAATGTTATTATTTTTTTAAATGCATTTACTTGATTTCTGATTGTTTTCATTATGTAAATCTATTTAATTTGAAAAAAAAAAAAAAAAATTATTTTAATATTTTTGGGTGTCTGGAACGGATTAATTTTATTTCCATTATTTCTTATGGGGAAAATGGTTTCGAGTTTCGTGAATTTCGACCTTCTGCAGGCTCTCTGGAACAGATTAATCACGAAATTCGGGGGTCCACTGTATTTCAAGCTGTAATATAACAATTTTTTTTAATTTATAATCTTTTCAATTGTATTTCTAAAGCAGTTTGAGCTAAAAATAAAAATACTAAATTACATATTCTGAGCTATAAAATTGCTGTATTATTATTAAATTTGATAAGCAATGAAATATGATTTTATTATTATTTTCCTCAAACCAATTTAACAAATAATTCACTGTTAACACATTGATGATTTCTTCAAGCACCTAATACAGTGAAACCTTGATTGAACAGACTAATAAGTCTGTTAATACTGAATGTTAAATCCAAATAAAGATTTTTTTTTTTTTTTCAACAAGTCGGCCGTCTCCCACCGAGGCAGGGTGACCCAAAAAAGAAAGAAAATCCCCAAAAAGAAAATACTTTCATCATCATTCAACACTTTCACCACACTCGCACATTATCACTGTTTTTGCAGAGGTGCTCAGAATACAACAGTCTAGAAGCATACACATATAAAGATACACAACATATCCCTCCAAACTGCCAATATCCCAAACCCCTCCTTTAAAGTGCAGGCATTGTACTTCCCATTTCCAGGACTCAAGTCCGACTATATGAAAATAACCGGTTTCCCTGAATCCCTTCACTAAATATTACCCTGCTCACACTCCAACAGATCGTCAGGTCCCAAGTACCATTCGTCTCCATTCACTCCTATCTAACACGCTCACGCACGCTTGCTGGAAGTCCAAGCCCCTTGCCCACAAAACCTCCTTTACCCCCTCTCTCCAACCCTTTCGAGGACGACCCCTACCCCGCCTTCCTTCCCCTATAGATTTATATGCTTTCCATGTCATTCTACTTTGATCCATTCTCTCTAAATGACCAAACCACCTCAATAACCCCTCTTCTGCCCTCTGACTAATACTTTTATTAACTCCACACCTTCTCCTAATTTCCACACTCCGAATTTTCTGCATAATATTTACACCACACATTGCCCTTAAACAGGACATCTCCACTGCCTCCAACCGTCTCCTCGCTGCTGCATTTACCACCCAAGCTTCACACCCATATAAGAGTGTTGGTACTACTATACTTTCATACATTCCCTTCTTTGCCTCCATAGATAACGTTTTTTGACTCCACATATACCTCAACGCACCACTCACCTTTTTTCCCTCATCAATTCTATGATTAACCTCATCCTTCATAAATCCATCCGCCGACACGTCAACTCCCAAGTATCTGAAAACATTCACTTCTTCCATACTCCTCCTCCCCAATTTGATATCCAATTTTTCTTTATCTAAATCATTTGACACCCTCATCACCTTACTCTTTTCTATGTTCACTTTCAACTTTCTACCTTTACACACATTCCCAAACTCATCCACTAACCTTTGCAATTTTTCTTTAGAATCTCCCATAAGCACAGTATCATCAGCAAAAAGTAACTGTGTCAATTCCCATTTTGAATTTGATTCCCCAAAATTTAATCCCACCCCTCTCCCGAACACCCTAGCATTTACTTCCTTTACAACCCCATTATAAATATATTAAACAACCATGGTGACATTACACATCCCTGTCTAAGACCTACTTTTACCGGGAAGTAGTCTCCCTCTCTTCTACACACCCTAACCTGAGCCTCACTATCCTCATAAAAACTCTTTACAGCATTTAATAACTTACCACCTATTCCATATACTTGCAACATCTGCCACATTGCTCCTCTATCCACTCTATCATATGCCTTTTCTAAATCCATAAATGCAATAAAAACTTCCCTACCTTTATCTAAATACTGTTCACATATAGCTTCAATGTAAACACTTGATCTACACATCCCCTACCCACTCTGAAACCTCCTTGCTCATCCGCAATCCTACATTCTGTCTTACCTCTAATTCTTTCAATTATAACCCTACCGTACACTTTTCCTGGTATACTCAGTAAGCTTATTCCTCTATAATTTTTACAGTCTCTTTTGTCCCCTTTCCCTTTATATAAAGGGACTATACATGCTCTCCGCCAATCCCTAGGTTTTACAATAATTGGAATGATAACGGATAATTCTGGAAATTACTAATTTTGTCCATTGTTTCTGAAAATAATTACCAAGAATATAGTAATAATAATGGACAGTTCTGCAAACTGTTGTATCTGTGCACTTCTGGCAAGACAGTGATAGTATGGATGATGATGAGGGATTTTTTTTTTTGGGTAACTCTGCCCTGGCAGGAGATGGCCAGCCTGTTAAAAAAAAAAAAAAAAATCTGGAGGCAAAGGGCTTTGTTTCTGAAATACATTTACCCGGCAAGTAGTAAAAATGACAATCAGTTCTGCAAATGATGGACCTTATCCAGATATCTGGATTTTATCCATTCTCTGGATTTTTGTATGGTAAATCTGCTAAACTGAGGTTTTACTTGTAACAATTTCAGGTGCCCCTCCTAGAGCATTCTTCTCATTATTGACATTGTCATACTAGTTATAAGGTTTTGTATTTCTTCCATACTCACATCACTGTCATTACAATCCTTTATTTATAATTGTACAGAAATGCAGGCCTTACATTACTTTACTAAATTTTTGTAGGTTTGCTCCTGACCGGTCATCACTCATCGTCCCTACCAGCTGTGCATCGAAAGGGCTCTTCCTCCCTCTAATTGGCCTTGTGTGCACATTATTGGCCTTGTGTGCCCACCTTCGGTCTTGTGGCCATTCCTGTATACATACATGTGCACTGATGATAACCAACAGTGCAAAAGAGCCGGGTTCACATGTATGAAGGAGTGATCACATAAAATGATATGCATGCACTCGGGTGTCCTTTGTGCATTTTTCAACTCCAGGTTGTCCCATTGCATATCTGTGTGTGTGTGGAAGCTTCTGATTGGCTGTGGGGAAATTGAGTTCAGAAACCATCATGTTTGGAATGCTGTCCTTGATTATTCATAAGATATTTAATAATTCAAGTGTACTGTGCTCTTAATAAAGTAGCACACAGCTCAAATTTTGTTTGTGACAACCCATTTCAAGTATACCTTGCAGAATACGTTTTGGACGTCCAACAGTGCATGTTAAATCCGTTTGATTTCTCATGAAAATTCTGCAGTACCTGACCCTAAATCCTAACTTATCTGAAATATCTTGCAATTACCATTTAGAATTTTTTTCATTTCAACCTGAATTGGTCTTTTTATTATACACCTACCATCCGACTTACGACCTGCTCGACTTACGACCACTCTACTTACGACCGTGTTTTTTATGCCAAATTTCTGGGAAATAAACAACTATTTGTGTTGTACACAGTGTTTATTCTAAACCTTACAGTATAAAATACAGTACTAAGAACATAAAAAGTAAAGTAAAACATGAAATACCAAAATAAAACAATAAAATAAAGTCATTACAAAAATGTTTTGTTGATATTCAGTAGTAAAGTTCGACTTACGACCATTTCAACTTACGACCGGTTTCTCGGAACCGAACTCAGTCGTAAGTCGGACGGTAGGTGTATTTTGTTTTCTTGTTTTATAGATTGGCATGGTCAGAAATACACAGTACACTGTCATCTCATAAAATTACTTTTAAGCAGTGCGTGATCAGTTGTAATTTGTTTGTTCTGTAGGGGTGAAAATCATATGCAATTATGTATTTGAAAATGTGAGATGTTTGTAAAGCTAATGTTTACTTAAATTTAATTTTTTTTCTATATATTTAGTTATGCAATTGTAAAATTCTTATGTCATTGGTGTGTTCACCATTAATTTGCACACTGGAATATTTGGTGTGTAACACTGAAAATTGGGACATTGTAATATTTATCACGGTAAAAGTTGGAACATATTAAACTCAACCTTTGTGTTAATTTATAATGTGCCAAATTTTCAAGTTTTGACTTGCTCATTTTAATTGTTTTTAGTACATTTTCCCTGTAATTGCTCACAACAATTTTAATTTATTAATACTAGATGTTTTGATGAAAACTATTACATAATTTTTTTCTAGTATGAGTAATCATGTAAAGGAAAGTTTAACAGTTGCAGTGAGAAAATGTAGTCTGTGGTGCTGACAAAACATTAGACATAACAATTAGGTTGTTCTTTATGGTGTTGCATCATGACTTTTTTTGAAGTTACTTTTGTTTCTTATTTACTATCTCAATTATGTAATTTGTCCTTTTTTAATTTGTTGGATTAATAAATAAAAGTGGACTCATGTGTGTACTTATTTACCAAGGTGATGAGCAGTTTGGACTTCCAGTAAACATGCGTGAGCGTGTTAGGAGCAAGTGGAGACACATGGCTTTTGACTCGACGTGCTGTTGGAGTGTGAGCAAAATAACATTTATGAAGGGATTCAGGGAAACTGGTTAGATGGACTTTAGTCTTGGAGGTGGGAGGAACACTTCCTGTGCTCTGAAGGAGGGGGCACTGATATGTTGTGGTTTAACTGTAGTGTAAGCATGTCTCTGCCAAGACAGTAATGAAGTTTCTTTTTTTTTTTCTGGTCCCCCTGCCTCAGTTGGAAATGGCCGATGTATTAATAAAAAAATATTTTAGCTTGCTTTTCTATTGGTAATGTTATGCAGAAGCAAATGTCCCATCCTTGAATGATTGTCGCAGTGCTCACTGCCTCTATTTTGTCTGCTCTCATGACCTTTGCGATCCTTCTACATAAAAGATAGTAACGAATGTTAGCAGAAGTCCATCATTTGTTCACTGCCTATGTACTCCATCCCTTTTCTCTTCGTCTTTAATTGCTCTCATCTTTTCAGTTGCTCCGTTTATATATTCATCTAGCATCTAACTTTTCACTTCCCCATTGGGAAGTTCCAACAGTCAAGTGTCTGTTCTTCCCCACTGCTGTGTACAAAAGCCCAAATCCCTACAGTCTGATCTTCACTATTTTTTGTACTGGACTGATGAAGCCACTGTGGCAAAATGTTTCCTCAGTAATGATACCCAAGTGTTGCAAGTCTAATTTATCACCATCATTAATGTACATAATTGAGAGACAATGCTGTTGAAAGGCTCTTGATTCAAGTACAGTGCTGTGTAACCCTTGTGGGTTTAACACTTAACTTTGATTATAATAATCTTTATTTAAATTATTATTATAATCAAAAAGAAGCACTAAGCCACAAGGGCTATACAGCGCTGCAGGGTAGGGAAGGAAGCGAGGGTATCGGACGGCAGGAGGGGGGAGGGATGATCTGTAGGTTACAGAAAAAAAGGGGAAGGTTTAAGTCCCGGGGTTTAAGGTGGTAAAGGAGATTTGAGGTTAAAGGGCTGGAAAGGTTTCGAGTTTGTGAGGTAGTCATTTGTTGGGTAATGGAGTTGGGAAATTTGAATTTAGGTCCATTGGGGGAGAAGGAAGGTTTTTTGGGGGAGGGGACGAAACAAATTCGCAAAATTTCGTATTCTTTTTGTCTAAACGTGGGCGGGCCCAACAGGAATTTTGGTGACTGTTTTCCATAAATACAATTCCCTCACGGGGAGAGGAGCAGTAACGTTTTTTCCTGGAATCCAAATTTGATTTTAAAGGTGTTGGCCAATGGGAAGACGGGAGAAGGTATTTCTCCCACCTCGAATTTTTTGGGTGCAAGGGGGGGAGGGCCTTTTTAGAAAATTTTAAAAATTTGAATTTGTTAGCAGCTAGTGTCCAAACAGTTTTTTCCCACGGGTTTTGTGAAGGTTTTGGGGTGCTTTTGGGAAGCAAAAATAGTCCTTGGTTTTCCCCAAAAATTTGAAATGGGAAGGTCTATTGCTGTGGCAATCTGTTTATGCCTTTTTAGGGAAGGGGACCAGGGGCCAAAGAAAAAACCAACTCTTTATTTGCCTTGGTAAAGATGCGGCGTAGCCAAAGTTGGATACGGAGGACTAAGGGGTGAGGTGTATCAAATTTCTGTATAGCTTGTAAAGCACTAAGGGAGTCTGAGAAAACCCACAAAATGATGACAAGGCATAGATGCAATACGGATAAGTGCTGCAAGACTGGCATACAATTCAGCAGTAAAATACTACCCGAAGATAGAAAAATGCCTTCGTACGACACTGTCCGGAAACACTGCTGGAATCCTAGCCTCAGAAAAACTTAGAGCCATCTGTGTACACTGCAATGGCATGAGAATGAGAGTGGAAGCGGTCAAGAAAAAGAGAGCGGGAAGCGACCGTAGACAGTTGGGCTTTCGAGCAAGGGAGAGGGAAAGAACAGACTCGAACAGCTGGAACTTCCCAGAGGGGTAGGGAAAAGTGAGATGCTACATGAACATAGAAAGGTGGTAATTGAAGAGAAGATAAGAGCGAATGTAGGCGAAGAGAGAAGGGACAGAGTAAACAGGGGCGGCGAACAAATAAAGAATGTCTACTAATATCAGTGACCATTCTATATATGGAAGGATTGCGGAGATCATGAGAGCGTACATAGTAGCAAAGGCAATGAGCATCATGGCGATCGGATAAGGATGGAACGTTCGCTTCTGCATAGAGGCTCTCAACAGGGTAAGAGCGAAAAGCACCAAGGCATAAACGTAATCCTTGGTGATGAATGGGGTTAAGGCTAGAGAGGTAGCAGGAGATCCGCTGAATAGATCTGGTCACCATAATCAAGTTTCGATAAAATGAGGGTGGAATGTAGGCGAAGAAGGGTTCGACAATCAGCTCCCATGAAAGATGAGCAAGGGTTTTAAGAAGGTTCAGCGTGCTGTGACAAGTTGCCTTAAGAGAGGTAATGTGAGGTTTCCAGGATAACCTACAGTCAAAAAAGGAGGCCAGAAACTTGACTATCACGTTCAGGGATACGGGAGCCATAGAGGTACAAAGGATGATCGGAGTTTGACAAGCGTCTAGTGAAAGTAATTTGGTAGGTTTAGTGCTGGAAAAATTTAAACCCATGTGTGGTGGCCCCAAATTTGGGAAAACCCACGGTCGACCGCATGCGGAGAGAAACTGTAATGAGGTGACCAGTCAGCGCCTGCACAGGCAATAGCTAAGTCATCAACATAGAGTGATGACCAAATATTTGATGGAAGACTAAGGGGCCCAAAAATCATTAGTAGCAAGAAGAAAAAGTGTTGTGATCAAAACACATCCCTGGGGGACACCTTCAGCTTGGATAAAGTCCGGGGAGACACATTATTAACCAACACGGAAATGTCTATCATTTAAAAAAGTTTTTAAAGGGAAGGATGGTAGATTTGCTCGGAGTGGGCTTGGGCCAAAAAAATTATACCTCCAAGTTGTGTCAAAATGCCTTCTCAAGGTCAAAAAATACGGAAATAACTGATTTGGTTTTACTCGCAAAGGCATTACGAGCATACGTATCCAAGCATAGTAAGGGGTCTGTGGTAAACGTCCCTTACGAAAGCCATATTGATGAGGGGAAAGATACTGTTGTGCGTCTCTAAATACCACACAAAAACGTCTATTTACCAGGCATTCCATCACTTGCAAACTGCACTGGTAAGAGCAATGGGACGTAGTGGAGGCTTCATATCCCATATGCCGGGTTTTTGCGGAAAGGGGAACAATGGCAGATTTCCACAGCTGTGGAAGAACTCCTTGTGACCAAATAGATTGAAAAGGCATAATAGGACTGCAAGGGCGACTGATGTAAATGTTGTAGCATACAATATGAATGTCGTCAGCCCAGCTGCCAATGATCGGCAAGCTGAAGTGTTGCCTCCAGTTCTTGAAGTGTAAAAGGCACATTATACTGTCTTCCTGAGAGAAGAAAAGTCCAAGGGTGCTAACTCTCTGGCAGACTTTGAGGAAAGAAATGAGGGGCATAGATGGAGCCCCTGAGAAATACAGACCAGATGATTGCCAATTTCATTGGCAACATCTAGTGGGTTTGCTATATCAACACCGGTAACCCGCAAAAACAGGACCCGGGGTCAGGAGAATATTTACCACTCAGTTTTCGTACTTTTTTCCAGACTCATCATAGAGGAAGCAGAGGTATGGTAGACAATCTCGCCACCAAGTGCTTTTAGCGTCACGGATGACACGGCGAGTGATCGCACCTTCTGCTTAAAATCAAGAAGTCTCTCCGTGGTTCTATTGTACTGTACCTGCCCCATGCAGCGCTTTTCAAACGTACTGCACGAGCACAAGCATGAGACCACCAAGGCTGCATTTCTGAGAATGCCTGCCCGAAGTTGGGGTATAGAATGAGAAGCTGCGGGTTAAAACGGAGGACGAGAAGAGGTGAAAAAAGCTCATCAATGAGGACGAATAAGGAACCTCATGAAAAACAGTTATTTGTGAGAAAAGGGTTCAAATTTGCCTATCAAATTGTAGCGTGGGATATGAAGAGGTGGTGAATATGAAGGGGAATAAGAATGTTTGGGGAAATGATCGCTGTCATGTAAACCCGGGGAGAACAGACCAGGTTAAGTCAAATGCGGCGGAGGAAGAGCAGACTCAGAGATCGATGCAAGAGAGTAGTGTGAGTCCCGAGGTTTAAAATGGTGTGAGTACCTGTATTTAAAACATGGAGGGGGTGGGTAGCAAGAAAAGCCTCTAACTGAATCCCCACGGGAATCACAGTGAGACCCCCCAGAGGAAAGTTTGGGCATTAAAATCGCCAAGTAACAGAAGCGGTGGCGGTAATGACGAAACAAGAAAGGCAATATCCGGAATAGATAATGCCCGAGAAGGAGAGAAGATAAAAGAACAGAGCGTATACCACCTATGCAAGTGGATACGGGCTGCTGTGTAATGCAGCGAAGTCGAACAAATAGCTGATGGTACGGAATATCAGTGCATAGAAGAAGGCATTCATTAAAGTCCCATCAGGAAAAGGATCTGAAGAATACAATAAATTAAGCCTGAGATGGGATAGATAACAGCAGAGTGTAATTTTGGTTCCTGTAACAAACACCAACAGGAAAACTGGGAGTAACATCTTGAAGCTCCCCCTATTACCCCTGAGGTTTGCGATAATTCCACTGTAAATAGGCCATGATTGGCAATGATAAAGATACCTGAAAATCCGCAGGAAAGGGGTTCCTAGGGACTAGAGGGGTTAGAAAAGCCCAAAAAGCGGGGCAACGGAAAACGTTCAAGCAGCGAAGGCACGGTGCGCTGTGAAGAAAGGAGTTGCGCAGGATGGAGGAAAGGAAAAGGAGAAGGAACAGAGGGTGGATCAGTGTCCATTGAGGGTTTGGTCTCTGCAATATATTCAGAGATTGCTTCAAGTGTTTCGGAATTCAGAGACGTCGTATGGGAGACAATTGGAAGATGGTAGGGGGAGGATGAGTAAAGATTGGAACTGAAAATGGACCTGTACCAAGGTAGGGGGGGGGCGAAAGGGTGGAGGGAACTGGAGAATAAGCATGGAAGGGGACAGAAGAGGCAGAAACCGGGGAAGGTGGCAGAAGAGGAAGAAACTTGGGGGGGAACAGGGGAGAAAGGTACAGTACGAGGAGGAGGGTGAACCTCTACACTTGTAACAGAGCCAGTGAGAGGGAAGAACCCGGTACAGAGACAGGGAAGGTAAAATGAGGGGGTGGAAGAAGGGAAGGGGGGGTTAAAGGACCTTTTTTAAACCTTCTGAGAAGTAGAGGGACGATTGGGAGGGGTGTCGAACGAGATCTGTCGAAAACTGAGGCTTGTGAGGGAGAACATGAAGAAGCGAAAAACAGACCGAGGCTTGAAGTAGGGATGTCTGAGCCTAGGACAGCAAAAGAATTAGATACAGGAGTGACTAGGGGGAGAGGTAACCACAGAGGAGGCTGCAGAGGGGACCCCAGAAGGGGGGGGGTTTTGAAACACGGGAATAAGAAACACAAGGTAAGTCTCCCTTGGGGGCGGAGATGAGAAAACTGCCATGGCATAAGGGAGCCCTTTTCTGCCTCTTTGGGGTAACGGATTTCCCGCTCCTTTAAGTAGACTTGGCAACAGCAAGAGTACGAAGGGTGAGCTTCATGACAATTAAGGCAAGAGGGAGGGTTTTGTTTGCAAGATGTATTAGAATGGTCATGGGCACCACAGCCCTGGGCATTGCTATGGATCTGCAATATTTCGCTGGATGGCCAAATCGCCAGCAATTTTCTACACAGTTGCGGTGTTAGGATCACCTTTCGAACTTGTAACTGATGTCCTGCTACATAAACGAGGATGGGAGTATTCACGACTTTCAAAAGTTAAACGAGCCACATTTTTAGGGTATCGTTTCCGCCCGGGCGGGAAAGAACATAAGTTCTACCTTGGGGAAATTGGGGAGATCTTGGAGTTCCAGCTGTTCAAGAATGTCATTGCCACATGTCTGGAAATTTTGTTGAACTATGGTATGGGGCAGAATGACGGTACCACTACAAAAAATTGAGGGAATGATATTTTTCAATAGTAAACAGGAACAGAAATCGATATGGGAAAGTAGAGAAAGATCATGAGCTTGGGTACATTCTGTACAGTGATGATGCGTGTACCGCTCTTAAGAGCATGAAAAGAACAAATCTTTACCAACATGGCTGGGAGTGTCTTCCCAATACGTGGTCGGAAAGATAGGCAGTAGAGGAAGTCGGTCCGTAAAGTGAAGAATTTAGTCCATTGGCCTTCTGAAACTGAGCGTGGAAAGGGAGTGCAGGACGTGTCGATCTTTTCTAAAAAAGAATGAAAAGGGTGGAGAAGTATCATCAGCGGGTTTAATTGTCGTTGGCGTTTAGGCATGGGACCAGAGTGGCCCGACGTGGAATGGGCCAGCGTTTCAAAAATTTGGGCCGCACCGTAGAGGGAGAGGCCGGAAGCAAAGTCAAAGGAGACTGGAGTCAATAAATCGAAGGATCAGTCGAGACCTCAGTACCTAAAGGGCGGGTTAGGAAACAGAAACCCACAAAGAGGTACAGAGGCATGGGGAGTGTCCGAAGAGTGGTCCAAAGACGAGGCAGGGTCAAAACGGGTGCGGTATCAAAAAGGGGCCTGGGGGTAGCAGTTCATGGACTAGGGCTGCCATGGTTAGGTTACTTCTTTCTTTTTGTTTTTTAAGGAAAAAAAAGAAAGAAAAGAAAGAAAAATAAAAAAAAAGAATAAAAAAAGGGGGAAACCGGGGGGGGATAGTTCCTAGGAGGAATGAAAGGGCCAGAAATCTTTCTCCCCCCAAGAGGACCTCAGCACCGCTAGTAGCGTAAAATGCAGCATGGAACCTGTGCCATACCCCACCCATCATGCCAGTAAACCAGCAAAACCGGGATAGCAACCTCACATCTGCCGAGCTACCTCGGTGGACAAAAGAGAGGGCGGCCGGGTATCCGCCACAAAGCATACCTCCTTCGGCCACCACCCCGGAATCCGAAAGGTGGCTTCCAGAGATACACCCATCGCCCGAGAGACACCCAAAGCCACCCTCCAGGGTACCGGAGAGGGATCGGGACATCCCCAGGCAATCCGATTCCCCCGGCAAAACTAAAGCCACTGCAAAAACCTCAATGGAATGGGATGGACCCCAGTACCCTTTCCCCTACCTAGGAACTAGCGTGCCTGTGGGAAAAAATCCCAAAGGCCAAAAAGGAAGGGCAAAAGGGAGGGGTGGGGAGGAGGAGGAGGAGGAAAGGAAAAAGGGAAGGATGGGATAGGGAAGGGGGATTGGGGCGTAATTAGGTTCGGTCTGAGGAAGGAGACCGACAGGTCTAATTCCTCAGACCAAGAGCCTCTTCACCACAACAAGGAGCCCCCCTTGAAGAGGTTTATTTAAAGAACCCCTCAAGTGAGGCTCTTGACTAGGGAATTGGATCTGTGCTCCAGTTAACTGAATTGTCTGAATACCTTCCACATCCTCCCCCACAAAGGCGCTGTATAAATCCCCGTGGGTTTAGCATTCCCCCATAATAATTGATTCAAAGAAGTATATCTACCCTCTCTTCCTAGGAAAGTGTGATTACCATACATTCTCAAAGGTGCTGTATGACCTCTTGTGGGTTTAGTACTTCCCCATCAAAAAAAAAAAAAAAGTTACTGTAAACAGATTGTGTGAAGACTGCCATTCTTGATATGCTTTATGAAGAAAGGCCCGTATAGCAAAAATAGAATTTTTTATCACTCATTTTTTCCATATTTTGTATATAAATCTTGTGTTCCCTGGGATGGAGGTTGTGTCACTTTAGTTGAAACTAGATGTGGAAAACTTCTGTTGAGATAAATGGTAGAATAGGCATTAGGTGAAATACATGGATAACTGATCAATAAGCAACATAATTATATATTATGGTACTGCTTTGTATGACCCTTGTGGGTTTAGCACTTAGTTATGATTATAATAATGCACTACTGCTTATATTGCTATCATTATTATTAGAGAAAAAAAGAGAACAAGATATCGACCTAATTTTTTTGACCAAATTCATCATTTACTTCCAAAGTACCCAGGTGATCCACCATTCATTTGATACCTGTCTTACCAGGAGTATTCGGAAATTTCATTTCAAATAACCCTCTGAAATGCAACCCATCAATAGAGGGTCCTTGACCCTGATGAAAGGCTCTTGATCCAAGGAATTGGAATTGACCTATCCTTCCTCACAGGGCCTCAGAGAAATTTTGCAAGGCGGAATAAAGATGCTTTGGGGCCCCTGGGGGCAGGCTGAGGCCCTCAATCTAAGTACCGGCTGAACACCCCCCCCTCCCTCACATAGGCCCTGCTTCCTTGGATTGAACCCTATTGCCTCTCATTCCCTAAGGTGATGCATGACTCTTATGGGTTTACCGCTATCTCCTAGGAATTAAGTAAAATCAATAAGATTAAGGCAAAAAAAATAAAAAAATGGATTAAGCTGCAATGGAAAATCAAACAGAAAAAATAACAAATGTTTGAATGAAAGCAGCATATTTAAAAAAATTACACAAAGACAGAGTGGTGTTTGTTATGGGTGAACCAACACTAAGTGTATTAGGTACAGCTACACAAGTACAATTAACATACATAGTAATACATGTTTTTTTTTTTTTTTTCAACAAGTTGGTCGTCTCCCACCGAGGCAGGGTGACCCAAAAAAAAAAAAGAAAGAAAATCCCCAAAAAGAAAATACTTTCATCATCATTCAACACTTTCACCACACTCACACATTATCACTGCTTTTGCAGAGGTGCCCAGAATACAACAGTTTAGAAGCATATACGTATAGAGATACACAACAAAATCCCTCCAAACTGCCAATATCCCAAACCACTCCTTTAAAGTGCAGGCATTGTACTTCCCATTTCCAGACTCAAGTCCGGGCTATATGAAAATAACCGGTTTCCCTGAATCCCTTCACTAAATATTACCCTGCTCACACTCCAACAGATCGTCAAATCCCAAGTATCATTCGTCTCCATTCACTCCTATCTAACACGCTCATGCACGCTTGCTGGAAGTCCAAGCCCCTCGCCCACAAAACCTCCTTTACCCCCTCCCTCCAACCCTTCCTAGGCCGACCCCTACCCCGCCTTCCTTCCACTACAGACTGATACACTCTTGAAGTCATTCTGTTTCGCTCCATTCTCTCTACATGTCCGAACCACCTCAACAACCCTTCCTCAGCCCTCTGGACAACAGTTTTGGTAATCCCGCACCTCCTCCTAACTTCCAAACTACGAATTCTCTGCATTATATTCACACCACACATTGCCCTCAGACATGACATCTCCACTGCCTCCAGCCTTCTCCTCGCTGCAACATTCATCACCCACGCTTCACACCCATATAAGAGCGTTGGTAAAACTATACTCTCATACATTCCCCTCTTTGCCTCCAAGGACAAAGTTCTTTGTCTCCACAGACTCCTAAGTGCACCACTCACTCTTTTTCCCTCATCAATTCTATGATTCACCTCATCTTTCATAGACCCATCCGCTGACACGTCCACTCCCAAATATCTGAATACGTTCACCTCCTCCATACTCTCTCCCTCCAATCTGATATTCAATCTTTCATCACCTAATCTTTTTGTTATCCTCATAACCTTACTCTTTCCTGTATTCACCTTTAATTTTCTTCTTTTGCACACCCTACCAAATTCATCCACCAATCTCTGCAACTTCTCTTCAGAATCTCCCAAGAGCACAGTGTCATCAGCAAAGAGCAGCTGTGACAACTCCCACTTTGTGTGTGATTCTTTATCTTTTAACTCCACGCCTCTTGCCAAGACCCTCGCATTTACTTCTCTTACAACCCCATCTATAAATATATTAAACAACCACGGTGACATCACACATCCTTGTCTAAGGCCTACTTTTACTGGGAAAAAATTTCCCTCTTTCCTACATACTCTAACTTGAGCCTCACTATCCTCGTAAAAACTCTTTACTGCTTTCAGTAACCTACCTCCTACACCATACACTTGCAACATCTGCCACATTGCCCCCCTATCCACCCTGTCATACGCCTTTTCCAAATCCATAAATGCCACAAAGACCTCTTTAGCCTTATCTAAATACTGTTCACTTATATGTTTCACTGTAAACACCTGGTCCACACACCCCCTACCTTTCCTAAAGCCTCCTTGTTCATCTGCTATCCTATTCTCCGTCTTACTCTTAATTCTTTCAATTATAACTCTACCATACACTTTACCAGGTACACTCAACAGACTTATCCCCCTATAATTTTTGCACTCTCTTTTATCCCCTTTGCCTTTATACAAAGGAACTATGCATGCTCTCTGCCAATCCCTAGGTACCTTACCCTCTTCCATACATTTATTAAACAATTGCACCAACCACTCCAAAACTATATCCCCACCTGCTTTTAACATTTCTATCTTTATCCCATCAATCCCGGCTGCCTTACCCCCTTTCATTTTACCTACTGCCTCACGAACTTCCCCACACTCACAACTGGCTCTTCCTCACTCCTACAAGATGTTATTCCTCCTTGCCCTATACACGAAATCACAGCTTCCCTATCTTCATCAACATTTAACAATTCCTCAAAATATTCCTTCCATCTTCCCAATACCTCTAACTCTCCATTTAATAACTCTCCTCTCCTATTTTTAACTGACAAATCCATTTGTTCTCTAGGCTTTCTTAACTTGTTAATCTCACTCCAAAACTTTTTCTTATTTTCAACAAAATTTGTTGATAACATCTCACCCACTCTCTCATTTGCTCTCTTTTTACATTGCTTCACCACTCTCTTAACCTCTCTCTTTTTCTCCATATACTCTTCCCTCCTTGCATCACTTCTACTTTGTAAAAACTTCTCATATGCTAACTTTTTCTCCCTTACTACTCTCTTTACATCATCATTCCACCAATCACTCCTCTTCCCTCCTGCACCCACTTTCCTGTAACCACAAACTTCTGCTGAACACTCTAACACTACATTTTTAAACCTACCCCATACCTCTTCGACCCCATTGCCTATGCTCTCATTAGCCCATCTATCCTCCAATAGCTGTTTATATCTTACCCTAACTGCCTCCTCTTTTAGTTTATAAACCTTCACCTCTCTCTTCCCTGATGCTTCTATTCTCCTTGTATCCCATCTACCTTTTACTCTCAGTGTAGCTACAACTAGAAAGTGATCTGATATATCTGTGGCCCCTCTATAAACATGTACATCCTGAAGTCTACTCAACAGTCTTTTATCTACCAATACATAATCCAACAAACTACTGTCATTTCGCCCTACATCATATCGTGTATACTTATTTATCCTCTTTTTCTTAAAATATGTATTACCTATAACTAAAACCCCTTTCTATACAAAGTTCAATCAAAGGGCTCCCATTATCATTTACACCTGGCACCCCAAACTTACCTACCACACCCTCTCTAAAAGTTTCTCCTACTTAGCATTCAAGTCCCCTACCACAATTACTCTCTCACTTGGTTCAAAGGCTCCTATACATTCACTTAACATCTCCCAAAATCTCTCTCTCTCCTCTGCATTCCTCTCTTCTCCAGGTGCATACACGCTTATTATGACCCACTTCTCGCATCCAACCTTTACTTTAAATCCACATAATTCTTGAATTTACACATTCATATTCTCTTTTCTCCTTCCATAACTGATCATTTAACATTACTGCTACCCCTTCCTTTGCTCTAACTCTCTCAGATACTCCAGATTTAATCCCATTTATTTCCCCCCACTGAAACTCTTCCTACCCCCTTCAGCTTTGTTTCGCTTAGGGCCAGGACATCCAACTTCTTTTCATTCATAACATCAGCAATCATCTGTTTCTTGTCATCCGCACTACATCCACGCACATTTAAGCAACCCAGTTTTATAAAGTTTTTCTTCTTCTCTTTTTTAGTAATTGTATACAGGAGAAGGGGTTACTAGCCCATTGCTCCCGGCATTTTAGTCGCCTCATACGACACGCATGGCTTACGGAGGAAAGATTCTTTTCCACTTCCCCATGGACAATAGAAGAAATAAAAAAGAACAAGAGCTATTTAGAAAAAGGAGAAAAACCTAGATGTATGTATATATATATATGCATGTGCGTGTCTGTGAAGTGTGACCAAAGTGTTAGTAGGAGTAGCAAGATATCCCTGTTATCTTAGCGTGTTTATGAGACAGAAAAAGAAACCAGCAATCCTACCATCATGCAAAACAATTACAGGTTTTTGTTTCACAGTCATCTGGCAGGACGGTAGTACTTCCCTGGGTGGTTGCTGTCTACCAACCTACTACCTATGTTTATGTTTACTGATAATTGGGTGGACAGGTAGGCTAGTGTAACACCTTGATCATGTGACCATAAACTCCACTGGTCAGGCCATCAAATGTTTAAGACCAATATCAGGGGACCTATATCCCTGCCGAATGAAATATATCTTCTTCCCTGGATCCAGACATGATATCCCTAATCAGGTGTCAACAAGTCTTCTGAGAATGAATAACATAACAGTACATAAATATCTTTATCCCAAGTACACTGGTCCGGAGCCTGGCTGTGAATCTCTGAAGAGGCCCTATGACCACAGACTTTTTTTTTTTTTTTTTTTTTGTAATTTCAACTATTTTTAATTTATTTAGAAAAGTGTGTAAAATCCACTTAGACTGGGGGTCTCAGCCTGCCCCCAGGGGCCCCAGAGCAGTCTTGATCCGCCCTGAAAAATTTCCCTTGGAGGCCTTGTAAATTATCCCTATCAGTTTCTTAAGAGAATACCCCTCCTTAGCTGCCTTAAAGGAGCGTGTAAATCTAAAGTTCGTGTATCTCTGTAGAAGCTCATAAATGCTCACCTAGGAGAAACATATACTACATGTTTGTGGTCAGCCACAAAAAACTACAGCAACACACCCACCTTGGTAGTAGCCATGAGTAGGAAAACAACCTCTTCTCTTTTATACACTAAAGCGTCATCAAGAGCTTTATTTCCGTAACTATTTTTACTCTCTATATCCAGTGGGCACTGTAAAAGAGCATTAGTGATAATTAAATTATTATTGTTATTGTTGGTTACTTACTAGGGTCTAAAACCTATCAACTACACGAGGGTCATTCTGGCTTCATGACAGCATTTTCACTACCAGGCAAGACTACATTAATCTTAAAATTGGGATTAAACTCTCAGCATGTACCTCTCTATGTATTCTTCTAGTACAACAAAATCTGAACTGTTTGGGTAAAAAGGATATTGTCACTAGTTCTTAGTATAAGATATTATAACACATTTATGGTCTGTGCATTTAATATATTTGATGTTTTTTGTAGATATAACAATAGTGTAAACTGAATACTATTTATCAATAACTATATATATTAATACCTGGGTTTTTGCTGGGAGGAGAGCTTTAACACAGTCTAGGTGACCATTTCTTGATGCCAGTATAAGAGCAGTGTCCACATTCTTGTTCTTCGTACGCAGGTTCATGCAGATGTTACGATGACTTAACAGCTTTTCTACTACATTAAACCGGCCGTTTTCACATGCTGTGTGTAGCATCGTCTTGCCGCTGTACATCGCGTTCACGTTGTCATTGGTTTTCAAGTAGTTTGATACTTTAGTGAGGTAACCATTTCTGGCAGCGTCGTGTACTTCCTAGCAAGGAATGGTAATGCACTGATAAAATGCTCATGTATGATCTCTCTCTCTCTCTCTAAAAAAGAAAGAAAAAAGAATACCACAGGTGGGGGTTAGAACCCACGATCAGTCTCATAACTCCAGACAGTCGCGATAGCCACTGGGCCAGTTCGTTCTCTCTCTCTCTCGTTCTCTCCCTCTCTCTCGTTCTCTCCCTCTCATTTTCTTTCTCTCTCTCATTCTCTTTCTCTCTCTCATTCTCTCTCTCTCTCTCTCTCGTTCTCTCTCTCTCTCTCTCTCTCACTAGAGCGAGTATAAGTTAAAACCAGAAGTAGAGTATATAAGGGTATCTACATTAGATTCGTGCCACAGATCAGCAAAAGGCTGGATCAAACCTGAAGTTCCTGAGTCCTTAGGTTATATAGGTGAGGGTAAATAGAAAAAGCGTCTGTCTAGTGGTCAGCAGATGGAGGATCAAGCCTCCACCACGTCTTCCACTAATAAAGTTACGTATTACACAGCTATTACCATCTCTTACCAAGTTATAAAAAAACTTACCTTGGCTATACAGAGTTCCATCAATATTTAACTTAAGATGAAGAAAAAATGTTGCAATAAACTACACATGAATGTAAAGTTACCTAAAAATGACTAATTTATAGACAGGAAGTCTCACTGAAGGTATAAATGAGGAATTGTTTTTTTTACAAGCGTTCTGATAAGATACGAATGTACTATTATCTGTGACAAAGAGTAAATGGCGACATGTACTTACATAAGGCAGGTCACCACTTGCACTGCATCGACATATTTGTGGTGTTGACTGTAGAAAAGGAGGATATTTAGTATGTCAGTTCCTCACCATACAAGTATAACTCACCTACCATACAAACATAACTTACCTACCATACAAACTTAATTCACCTACCATACAAACATAACTCACCTACCATACAAACATAACTCACCTACCATACAAACATAACTCACCTACCATACAAACATAACTCACCTACCATACAAACATAACTCACCTACCATACAAATATAACTCACCTACCATACAAACATAACTCACCTACCATATAAATATTACAACATCATAACATATGACCTCTTCTGTAATAGTGAACCACTCACTTTCCTCACTCTAGCTATATTATATGATCGTCCTTCTATTAATTATCTTCTATTAACTATAATATTAGTCATCCCGTCTGTGGAATACGTATATTATCGGTAATCTTCTGTATTAAATATATTATTGGTCATCCCTTCTATTAACTATAATATTAGTCATCCCATCTTTCGAATGTATTATCGGTAGTCTTCTGTATTAACTACATTATTGGTCATCCCTTCTATTACTATAATATTAGTCATCCCATCTCTGGAATATATTATAGGTAATCTTGTGTATTAACTATATTATTGGTCATCCCTTCTATTAACTATACTATTAGTCATCCCTTCTTTGGAATAATATAGTACTTGGTAATACATCCCTTCTATTAACTATACTATTAGTCATCCCTTGCAAAAATATTTGGAATGTAAATTATCGATCTGTATAGCTATATTTTGGTCAATCCCGTCTATTTAGGAAAATACTCTGTTTCTTGAGTCCATACTGTGTTTTTCTGAAGACAATTGTTTTTCAGGCAACAGTGGAAGGAAAGACGATTTTCTAACTGGGTACGCAAGATGACATGAGACTCACTTCTTATGAAGGATCAACCGAATGTAATTACAGCAGCTAGTCAATGCAAGAATGATATGTAAACTGTGCAAACTTCAAGAGACCGTTCACATTCCTCTCGCTCAACCTTCCAAAAGCCAAAATTGATGTGACTCTCCTCCTTAGAAGAGTACTGAAATTGCAAAGATATTCGCCCCCCAATGACAGTAGACAAATGACAGGTGGAATCCACCAGACCTCGTCCATCCCTTATCCCCCACCTTCCTATAAAGAAAATTGGAAGGGGATGCTGCAGGACTTCAAAGTATCTTATAAACAAAAAGAGTTTCCCCACCACGACGTGTCAAAAGAGTGGATCCACCAGCGACACTGTCATTCTGTATTAATCCTGGAGCAGCCTGGATATCAAAAAAGACTTGGAAGAGGGGGATGTGGAGAGACTTTCAAAGCTATCTTAAAACAAAAAGATGGTTCCACAACCACCGTCGTCGTCAAGGAGTTCTTCGGTGACATTTATGTGGAAGAAGCTGTGAAGGAAGCCAGAGCTCTCCTGAAAGTTGATGGTGCTGGTGGAGTTCCCAAACTTATGGAATAATTTATGAACCTTTGGCTATCGTGATGTCATATTGCACTGGGATAACTTTCTCAAAATTTATATTGAAGAATTCTTTTGAAGATTGCCTGAAGGCATATAAAGCAGCTAAGGAAGCACTAAAAGATTTCCATAAGACCGATTTTGCCCATAATGACATAACAGAATCAAATATCATGATTAGAAAGAAAGGACAAAATTACATAGCACATCTTATAGACCTGGGTAATGCAGTAGACAAGACACAGAAACCCAAGCTTTACAAGAAAAAGAAGGAAAATGACAAAAAGTATTTGAAGGAAATACGTGGATTCATCCTGCAAGACAAGAAGGTGACTTATTAAACCTAGGATCAAGTTCCACCATTTCCTGTGGCCACCATTCCTTGAGACCACCGTTCCCTGCGATCACCGTTCCCTGTGACCACCTTTCCCTGTGACCACCGTTCTCTGTGACCACCGTTCCCTGCGACCACCGTTCTCTGTGACCACCGTTTCCTGCAACCACCGTTCTCTGTGACCACCGTTCCCTGTGACCACCGTTCCTTGAGACCATCATTTCCCGAGACCACTCACTCACACAAGTGATGAGTTAAGATGCTTGAGTGTACTGAGGATATCAGACATATAGTTGAGCCTCCACCGTTCTTCAGACCACCCTTCACTAAGGCCACTGTTCCTCAAGTTTTATTAGTTCAATATCTTTATTATGTACCACATACCCATCCTGCGAGTATCAGTGAAAAGATTACAGAAGTACATAATGGGTCCAGGGACTGTGTCGAAGAGCTTTGATTGCTGAACAAGTTACAATAGTAATGAACTAGTTACATGTTCATATGTGGTCAGAATTGCAGTGAGCTATATATACAGACATGAATTGGATCACCATTCCTTGACTCCACCATTCATGGATCACACATTTCTTTAACCCATTCATGGATCACACGTCTTTGACCCATTTATGGATCAAACATTTCTTTAATCCCACCATTCATGGATCACACATTTCTTTGACCCCAGCATTCATGGATCACTCATTTCTTTGACCCCAGCATTCATGGATCACACATTTCTTTGACCCCACCAATCATGGATCACACATTTCTTTGACCCCAGCATTCATGGATCACATTTCTTTGACCCCACCATTCATGGATTACACATTTCTTTGACCCCAGCATTCATGGATCACATTTCTTTGACCCCACCATTCATGGATCAAACACGAACTGCAGACACATTCATCACCTTCAAAACTACCATTAGAAAACATCTTATCTCCCTGATAAACCCCATCAACTAACTACACAAATACCACCTGGTGGTTCACACTTACACTCACTCACCCATTTGACCATAAACAGAAATATTAATCTCAATCTTAAAATAATGAATCCTATGATACTCCAATACTGAAACTATGTACTGTGCCAAAACAAAAACATTCACATTGCTAAACTCACAAACTAGTATTTAGTCACTTAGCCATAATACCAACTTACCTCATAATTTGTAATATTTTAAAATAAAGAATTAAACTAAGTCTGCCCGAAATGCCTAGCCATGCTAGGCGTTCTAGTGGTACACTCTGTAATCATTATTTAACTATATGTAAACCACACAACAACCAAATTCTGTAAATTCAACATTGTAATCTTTATAGAGAATAAACTTTGAATTTGAATTGAATTTCTTTAATCCCACCATTCATGGATCACCCATTTCTTTGACCCCAGCATTCATGGATCACATTTCTTTGACCCCACCATTCATGGATTACACATTTCTTTAACCCCACCATTCATGGATCACACATTTCTTTGACACCACCGTTCCAGGAGTATACCTGGAAAGGGTTTCGGGGGTCAACGCCCCTGCGGCCAGGTCTGTGACCAGGCTCGCAGTGGATCAGGGTTTATTTCTTATGTTTATTTTAAAACACGAAACTTCAATAGATCTCAGACATAAAATGATAAAGATAAATTATGTGAAAAGAAAAATGTTGTGATGAGATGAATATTGTGTAGTGTTGTGTTGTGATGTATATTGTGTAGTGTTGTGTTGTGATGTATATTGTGTAGTGTTGTGATGTATATTGTGTAGTTTACCTGGAGTTTACCTGGAGAGAGTTCCGGGGGTCAACGCCCCCGCGGCCCGGTCTGTGACCAGGCCTCCTGGTGGATCAGAGCCTGATCAACCAGGCTGTTGCTGCTGGCTGCACGCAAACCAACGTACGAGCCACAGCCCGGCTGATCCGGAACTGACTTTAGGTGCTTGTCCAGTGCCAGCTTGAAGACTGCCAGGGGTCTGTTGGTAATCCCCCTTATGTGTGCTGGGAGGCAGTTGAACAGTCTCGAGCCCCTGACACTTATTGTATGGTCTCTTAACGTGCTAGTGACACCCCTGCTTTTCATTGGGGGGATAGTGCATCGTCTGCCAAGTCTTTTGCTTTCGTAGTGAGTGATTTTCGTGTGCAAGTTCGGTACTAGTCCCTCTAGGATTTTCCAGGTGTATATAATCATGTATCTCTCCCTCCTGCGTTCCAGGGAATACAGGTTTAGGAACCTCAAGCGCTCCCAATAATTGAGGTGTTTTATCTCCGTTATGCGCGCCGTGAAAGTTCTCTGTACATTTTCTAGGTCGGCAATTTCACCTGCCTTGAAAGGTGCTGTTAGTGTGCAGCAATATTCCAGCCTAGATAGAACAAGTGACCTGAAGAGTGTCATCATGGGCTTGGCCTCCCTAGTTTTGAAGGTTCTCATTATCCATCCTGTCATTTTTCTAGCAGATGCGATTGATACAATGTTATGGTCCTTGAAGGTGAGATCCTCTGACATGATCACTCCCAGGTCTTTGACGTTGGTGTTTCGCTCTATTTTGTGGCCAGAATTTGTTTTGTACTCTGATGAAGATTTAATTTCCTCATGTTTACCATATCTGAGTAATTGAAATTTCTCATCGTTGAACTTCTATTGTTTTCTGCAGCCACTGAAAGATTTGGTTGATGTCCGCCTGGAGCTTTGCAGTGTCTGCAATGGAAGACACTGTCATGCAGATTCGGGTGTCATCTGCAAAGGAAGACACGGTGCTGTGGCTGACATCCTTGTCTATGTCGGATATGAGGATGAGGAACAAGATGGGAGCGAGTACTGTGCCTTGTGGAACAGAGCTTTTCACCGTAGCTGCCTCGGACTTTACTCTGTTGACGACTACTCTCTGTGTTCTGTTAGTGAGGAAATTATAGATCCATCGACCGACTTTTTCCTGTTATTCCTTTAGCAGGCATTTTGTGCGCTATTACGCCATGGTCACACTTGTCGAAGGCTTTTGCGAAGTCTGTATATATTACATCTGCATTCTTTTTGTCTTCTAGTGCATTTAGGACCTTGTCGTAGTGATCCAATAGTTGAGACAGACAGGAGCGACCTGTTCTAAACCCATGTTGCCCTGGGTTGTGTAACTGATGGGTTTCTAGATGGGTGGTGATCTTGCTTCTTAGGACCCTTTCAAAGATTTTTATGATATGGGAT